ATTGCCATTGGTTGGTGGAAATAAGATGGCTGGGAAATATCGACGCACACATCAACCCTTCCAAAAGCAATTCCGAAAAGATATAGAAACGATTCATGAGAAATTATGTCAAGATATGAGAATACCACGCATTGCTTTTGATCCTAAATATAAGAACTGCTCCGTATTGGATGGGTTTATAGAATTTACGGATAGATTTAAGTCTTTAGTATTTGAGGAGGATTTCGAAGATGAAAATCGTTTATGCATTTACGAATTTCAAAGCCAACTTGATTTTTTATTAAAAAAGGCTTTCAAAAAGAGAAGTGGCGAGTTTGTACGAGAAGTTCAAAGAAGGAATTACATAACTAACTGCACACTGTATGTTCTAACAGTACCGCCATTAATTGGGGCCTTGTGGTGGTGTTTTTTTAAATAAAACAAAATTGAATACGTCTGCTATGAAACACTTAAAAATTCAATACCTTCACATCATGGAATGTAATTACAACCTAACGTTTATTCCATTAAGATGCGTAATTTTCACATAGTGATTAAGATGTATCCCAATGTTAATATCAATCATTGGAGCAATTTAAAGATACCAATAATATTACTTGCTTTTAAAGCCCTATTGCAAATCGCGTAAGTATGATTAAATTCGATATCAGAAAAATATCTATATTAATAAAAGATTCTTCAAGAGTGTATTGTGCCCGTCTAGTTACTAGTTACTAAAACCAAATACACTTACTGGAGACTTGGTATATATTGGGTAGTATTATTTTACTTGAAATAATTCACTTCTTTTCATTTTTCTATTCTTAGAATTCTAGACTCGGATTCCAGATTGGACAAAAGTATGTCCTGTAAGTACAAATTTGTTTATCCTTTTTTCCTTCTTTTTGAGACTAAATTCTTTAGTAATCTACAGTTTTATCCGCTAGCCATCAATTGACTTGATGAAATAAGTGATGGTTAAAACTAAATAAAACTAATGGATCAAACTTAATGTCTGTATATCTTTAAGAAACTATCAAATAAATTACTTAAATGAACCAGAAAACCGGAATCTGTTCTAGAGTGTTAATTTGATTATTTTTTCCTCCTCTTTAAAATCGTTTGAATACTTTAATAATCTATTGGGAAGTGAATATAGAAAATCAGTGTGGAGCTATTTTGTTCAAACCTTTTAAATAAATTATTTAAATGAACTAAAGAACTTAAGTTTATCTAGTAAGTATAAATTTGATTTTTTTTTGTTATTGAAAATATTTAAAAGCTTTCATATTCTTTAGTTAAATGCCTATGGGATCCTTTACCCATGTTTTGTGTTCCATGTGTGAATATCTGCTAAAAACTACATATTATAAACATTTATTTTATGAACAAACTTGTTGTATAAACACTTGAATATGCATGGATATATTATTACAGAAAATATCACATACATATCAAAAAATATATTCCAAAAATAATTCCATAACATGAAGTAAACTTTTTCTATACATAAATAGAAACAAATAACCTTTCCACTTAACTTCTTTTTAACTAAGAATAAAAATAATATATATTACAAAAACTTCTTCTAGTACTTCTTACTCTGTTAAATACTAATTATCTCTTGAATTATCTCTGCGGAAAGAAAAATCAGTAAAACTTCAAAACAAAACCAGAGCGAGGACTGTAAGTCGAGAATTGTAGTGAAATTTCTTGTCTTACTAAAAAACATTGAGAATCATAAGGTCTCTCTCTGTTAACTTCCTGAATACAGAAATATCGAAGGGAAAACAAGCAAAAGACATGATCAAAAAAGGCTCCGAAATGGACATAAAATCACCGGGAACTCTATACAAACTTTGATGAATGAAACGTTGTGGAACATAGATGCACTTATTATTGTGGTAACAAATAAATTATAAGCTAATCACATGGAGTGTGTTATCGGTACAGCCCTATAGTTTAGATCAAGGCTGTTCAAAGAATAGTACACATATTACACTATACTATACTACTAGCATTATACTAAATTTGATATTATATTTTATGTATATAAAGTATATGGTATACTGAATAAACTCATATTCTATCACTCACCAACACCTGTGCGGCTTCTTTGATTTGTTTATCCATTCAAAAATTTCACAACCCTATTTTTAAGCATTAACTCACCATCATATAAACCACGACGTAATGAAGGAGTATTGCTTACTTTCTCAGAATTTTATTAATTTATCTTTATTTTCCCAAACAAATTCAAAAAAAATCCTTTTTATTTTTCACATTATTAACACTTTATACTGTCTTCAGCTTCAATTCTTTGATTTTTCCTATACAAACTGTTGACAATGAAACAAGGCAATAAATCAAAACACCTACAAATATCATACAAATAATAAATAGCTTAGAAGAAGAATGAAAAGAGTTTGAAGGAATTATTGAGCATAAAAAATTTGAGCAATAAATTCACTTTTTATAGGTACACCTTGAAAAAGGATATATTGCACTGACAATAGGACCCTTTGCTAAAGGTATTATTTGCTAACAAACATACGTAATGACGTTAAGATTTCTTTACTAATCTTAACATTTCGCTTTATAAGATATTTTTTTTTTATTTTATAAAACTGCAATTTTATTTTGTAGAAGGGGGAATTTCTGACATTTTACTTCTTCAAGCGTGAACCTATTTTAGGGTTAAAAGATGTACATTCCTTTTTGTCTGCCATTATGTATAGTTCCAATAAAAAAACTGGTACAACAATAGCCGTTAAAGTTACCGCAACGAAATTTTTATACGAATTTATCACCTACAATAGTCGATCGTAAGTAATCTTTTTATGTCCGCTACTTAAGGTTGAGACATGCTGCATGGGGCAACCCTTACTTCTTTTATCCTTAACAATTTTTTTGAACTATCACAGTGATATCCTTTATATTGCTTTTTTTATTTATAACTAAAGTGTTAAGGTGTTCTGGTTTTGAAGGAAAGTGTTTTAGAAAAGCTGATTAAGTGGTTTTTTGTTGTAGTGGAAATGAGTATAACATTTTTTTTTTGTGGTGTATAGTATTTTATATATCTTTATAAACTCAATAAAGCTTTATACTAAGATATTAATCTAAATGTTTTTTTATACATACCTTTTGCCATTAGCTTTCATAAGAATAAATTTAAAGTTATATAGAAAATCGTTCCTCTCCGCAAAATAAGTACATGAACACACAAATTCATTAGGACACCTTCTGTCCAATTTTACAACCCCATTTAAGGCTCACCTAAAGCTACAAAATATGCGCCGGGTTTAGTTAACCTAACTATGCCACCTCTTGTAAAGGCATAAAAAATTGCTTAATTTACGTTTAAACATAATCCGGGTAAATACTTTTGAATGGGTTTCTTGCTTATCCTGATGAACCGAACCATTTGTGTTGGCAAACCATTTTATTTTATTTTATTTTTTCTTTTTTGGAGAACAAGTTTCTCTTCCATTTTTCCACAATTTGGTTAATTCCTTACGCATTTAATGTAAAAATTGTGTAATCCTTACAAATATAAACATAAAATTGTGCAGAAAAATTGTTATGATATTGCTTAAATTTATTTTTGTTATCCTGTTAATGTGCCCATCCAGTACAAAGTACAAAGGTAACAGTAAAATGTTAAGAGCCTTTTTACTCTGGTAAATAAAGTTTATGGTACGCGTAAAGATTGTATTAAAACGATATAAAATGGCATAAAACTTAGTTAAAGCAGCTTTTAGTAGGTCCTTAATAGAATCTAAATAGTCAGCGTAATAGTTTAACTAATTTATGAAGTGAATGTGTTTTTTACCTAAGTAATACCATATCACTTCTTTTATGAAATCGTTTACTATCGCTTTTTCTTTTTCTGAAAATCAGTGCAAAATCCAAAAATTACTATAAACGTTTTAGTAAAACCAAAATAAATCTAAAGTTCTGGTAACATATATACATTTACTGCAGAGTATGTCCAAAATTGTTACTTTGAAAAATGCACTTAAAAGATAATGTTTGTCACGTCTGTAATAGATCCAGTACTGCACTCACCGAAAATGGCTACAGCGCTTCTTTTTTGCTATTCCGAACGGTAAATAACCAAAGTAATTACTGTGTGAAGAGGATATCGAGTCAATTGTGGACTTCCAGGTTAACATAGCCCGCCTATAATTAAATCAGATCATCGGAACTCATCAAAAAAGACGCGTGAACACTGCAAAGCTTACTGCAGTTCCTTTTGGTCATTAGTGGAACTCATGCAGAGAAACTGCTCATTCCCCATAATTCTCACTGCAGAAGTTGTGAAAACCCGCAGGAAAAAGAAACCATTATACATTTTTACTGTGAATGCCCGGTTTTGGCGTCCAAAAGAAAAAGATTTTTAGGGAGATATTTCTTTGACAGTTCATCAGATTGTTTATCGGTGAAGACGAAAGACCTATTAAATTATTTATTTTCGACAGGATAAATTTAGTCTCTACTCTTCTTATTAGGGGTTTTTGCGAGGAATTTGGTGGCAAAATGGCGATAAATCGCTGATTACGTACATGGAGGTTATCTAACGAATTGCCACTGCAATTCTGAGGAAACTCTTTAAATTAGTTCCTGAGTTCCTCACTGAGAAATGTAGAATACTTTTAAAGATGGGTAAGTAACTGTTATTGCACTTTGCAAATGAGAATATATTGATATGGTGAATATCTGTAAAGACAGAGTCCTTTAAGACAAATCATAGATCGACAAAGTAGAAAAATGCTTTTCACTAGCAAAAAACATTTTAAAAAATTATCTCCGATCCAATTGAAAGGAAACCATAATTTGTGTTGTGAATTATACTTAATTTATATTTATATATAAAATTTAACTATTTATTTCCACTTTAAATTTCAAAATTTTTAACACCTTCCATATTATGGCCCAATAGTCGAATTTAAATTTTTAATTACGAAAATTTATTTATAGTAACTGTTAATAACTATTAACATATACTTTAAATAAATTTTCAATTTATAATTAATAATTTTTTCAAGATTTTCTTATTTAATATTTCAACTATTATTGTATGTAAAAGCAGCAATAGAGGCTTAGAAAAAGAAAACAATTTAGGTCACAGCATCACCACAGGTACCAAGCCAGAAAACCAAGTACTGGAGTAAGCACGCAAACATAAATTGTTCTAAATTTGTCCTTTTCCATCCCGTGTACCATTTTGACTATTTCAGTATTTCGTATCAGAAATGATTTTTTGACTAAAATGTCGAGGCGTCTCTGAAAATTTAAATGCTTCAAACGATTATTACGTATAAATTCTGGGCTAAAAGTTAGTGGTGTAAAAAGACTATGCAGTACACCTTCATGGTCTAAAAATGTACGATCATGAGTAGGATCAAAAGCACAATCCGGAATACTCATTTGGCGTCTAAGGCGATTATGATGAGAACGAACATCATCCTCAAATTTATGCTGAACCTCCAGTTGCACTTCTGGATATAAAAATGTTATGTATAATCCACCAACTAAGGGCAGGTCATAATAATCTGGGACATTTTGGTTATTTAATCGCATCCTGTCGACATCACCACCACCTCCAGTAAACTGAAAAATATTGAGGGATTCAGTTAATAATTTCTTATTTTTGATATATAAAAAAGTTATACCCTTCCTAAGTCCATTTTGTCCAAAAGTTTTTAAAATTAACGTGAAATTTCGCTGGAGCGGAAATAAACAGTTGCCAAAAAGGGTTAATTGAAGTATAAAAAAATTTATTAACTATGCTTTACATATTTTATTTGAACAAATAGTAATATACTTATTTTTCTACAAAACATTAAAACTCTATCCATGGCTAACTATGAAAGTTATTGTTTATATATGTATAATTATTATATAAAGTTAATTCATTATTATCTGTATTTTGACTTATTATATATTCTTTGACAATATATATTTGCGGTATTATTTCGAACAATACATTGTAAAACCGAAATCTCATTTGTTGAAACTATACGTTCTTACTTACTTAACCATTACAGACCTGAATCATCCTTGGCAACGTCAAGTAGTCTCCACCAGCCAGCCCAATCAGTGGCTTGCTGTCGCCAGTTGGTAGTACCGAGCGCCCCCAAATAGTTCGTCACCTGATCCTTCCACTGAAGATACGAATGTCCGCTACAACGTTTTCTACCTGCGGGTACCAAATCAAACAAGTACAAAATAATGTTAGAAATATGAATAACAGTACGTCAGATTAAGTTGTTCTGGTTGGCCATAAATCTGGACCTATTGGTGCCTTGTGATAACAGACAGAGTTAGACCTCTATATAGATTTTATGGATTTTATAGATTTTTCAAAGCAAAATTTTAGAGTGTCTTGTTGAATTTTAGAGCCTCATATGATATACAGGGAATAGTCACGTTTCTAAAAAATCTTTAGAACTACCACCTGAAATCTTCCCTAAGCTCTTAAGCAATCATTTTTTCAGATGTAAAAACCGTTTATCAGTAGTCATTTTTAGATAATTTAAATACTGATTAAAGTCTTATTATAAAAACAGAGTCATTAAACCTGTTTTAAAAAATTTTTTCAGCATATCTTTAGAATGTACCTTATTGGGAATGGAACCTAAACCTTCTGCACCACAGTTCTATTAAAAAAAAATAATATATTCGAAAAAAATTCATTATTGTTTTTTAATTATTAATTTATCATATTAAAGTTGAATTTATTGTTTTAAATATTTATTATCCTTTGAAAACCTAATCGGCTCTCGTACTGATAATACACTTTTTTACCACTCAACATTGACTTCCAACATTTATTTTTTTTCTATTTTTTTTTTGTTATTTTTAGTGTCATTTATAGCCTATTTTGTTGCTGTCATTTACACTAACAGGCAGTCGAGTCTCATAGAGGGACATGTGTCCATGTCAAAAATAACTCAAATATTTATTACTAAATTTTTCTATCTGCATTTTTGTTTTTTTTTTCGGGGGGTATCCTGTCGTTTTTTATGAGCTGCTATACTTTCCCTCCTTTTTTCAATTCAATTCCATTTTTTCATACATTCATAATAATATTCCTTTTTTTGGACTATGCTTTCATTGTAAGATAATCAACTAAAAGTGTCACTATGAATTGAGCGCTGAATCCTTACATGTCCTTACGGTTAAACTAAGCACTACGTTTTGAATTATTTTATGTGCTGCAGTGAAGGAATTTCTAGGAATTTTGTTGTGTGTAGGGATTTCCTGTTTTGTTTCCTCACTGATTGAACACATTCAAATAGTAAAACACGTGCAAAGGGTGTTTTCAATTATGCCAAGTCACAAAACTAATGTCAAAGGGGAGCCAAAGACTGTCGAAGTTATGATTTACACTATAAACTGGATATGTGTGTAGGAGAGAGTGCCGTACCGATGTAGCCAACTAATTTGATGAATGCTTTTCCATTTTAGGTTGTTCAAAATTTTTTAATTAATAGAAAAATTTATTTTAATTTAAATAGTTTGTTTTGGCATTGGTTGTATTCGATTTTAAAAAAATTTTATTTTAAGATATATGAAGTATATATTAACCTTTGTAATGAGTTACATATGCATAACATTTACAGATAATATATTACATTTAGAAATCTAATATTTTACAAAAGAATATCAGATATTAGAGGAATATATTTATTAAAAAAATTATTAACATAACATATTAACCACTTATATTTCTACACTCAGAAAAAAAATTTGATTGATTTAATCCGATTTTAACTAAATCTCATGTCAAAATATTCATACTCCGCGCATCTTATTAGTTCAACCATACCACATGTTGGTTTTTATATCTTCTCTATCACGTGAGCTCAAAATTTTCCAACAAAAATTTTAGGTCAATTTAAGTACTACCACATAGTAATTGAACATATTTTTTGAGTGTACTCAGTTGGTCTTTATAGACTTGTATCATCCTTAGCCACGCTTATTAGATTCCACCAGTCAGTCCAGTCCAGAAATGACTATTTTTATTAGTTCTAATAATTTGCATAAATATTTTTTTAAAGATTATAAAGATATAAAAAAAAATTCCAAGACCAACAGCTGTATAGCGAGCCAAAAGTTCAATTAATTAAAATAATATAAAAATAATTTTTGTTGTTGTAGTTCACTACTTTTCAAAAAACGTCTTTGAAAAAATTTTTTCAATAAACACTTTTTATAAAATAATTTATTCTTATAATTGTTTTATACAATTTTTTTTATTTTTAAATAAAATTATATTTCTTCCACTTTTCCTTTAAGTTTTCCATCATTATCATTTCATAGTTTCCTGCAGAGTTTCCTATAGAAAATAATAAAACCAAAATCCGGCTTAACACCAAAGCTTAAAAAATGTAATTTGCTCCTTTTTTTTCAATCGTTATTATATTCAACTAAAAACAGTGTAAGTGAAAATATCCTTTGATTTGAAAAAAAATTGAAAAAAAATCCTTTTTTGTCACAAAATTTCTGTTACAATTTTTTTCCTGAACAATTGAGTTAACACCAAATTTCGGTACAACATCAAAGGAACAATTTGATGACAGGTACTTGCCTTTGATACCTTTGTATGTAATACTATTTAATCGTTTAATCCTTCCACTTACCAAACAATGTTATTAGAAGGCAACCAACATTTCTTTACTCCAAATAATAGAACACAACATAAGAATTAAATGCAGTGAAAGTTCTTTGATTTAACCGCATTATTTCCTGAAATTAAGGCACGAAGTTATTAAACTGAAAAGATTAGTCCTGAAATACATAATAGAAACAAAATCAAACACTCTCTCTAAAGAAATGCAACAAGTGAGGTTAAGTGTTATATTTAGTATGAATCGTAGCCTTTCGTATTGAATGAAATTTATTGAATAGTACATAAATATTATCTAAATGAGAGAATATATTGCCCTACAGCATGTATCAACCATGCATTTCTGTTAAGTCAGCTATAAGATAAAGAGGATTCAAGATAATATGACAAAGTTCCCATGGCAGCGCAGCTCTACGTTTATAACAGGTCCTTTTTGCTTTATATATAAAATCACTAACCCAACAAGTTATACTGAGCCTATTAAAAAAAAGTCTATAAATTCTTCTATTTCTAATACAGAAAGAAAGGCGTAATATTTTGAGGCTATATTCTATATAGCTGGCTAATCATAAAGAATACAGCTATAACACTCAACCACTTCCAGGCAGGGACGATATTCCAAATGCCTGGAATCATCTCTTTAAAATGACCTAACAAATTACACTAGTTTACAAATAATTAAAAGTTTTGTTTTCCAAAGACGAGACTTATATTTCCTATAGGGAAATTTTCCGTAGAACTCGAAAATCATAACGATTTTTTTTTCCTATGTACCGTTTTCGAGATATTTGAAAAAAACCGTTATTTTGACTTTTCTCAAAACATCACCCTGCATATTCCCCCATAGCTTTTTTTCTGAAGTTATCTCGGTAGTATATTATATATCAAATTAAAGGTGAAACTCGTACCAATATTTTGAGTTACATAACGTTAATGTATCTTACTTAGTTTCGCTGCTATAGCTAGAAATGTACAGATGAAAAATGTTTTTTTTACGCTTTTTTCAACTTTTTCGATTTTCAAGGTGATGGGACTCCCACAAATATATTAAAAAAAAATTTTTTTTTTAATTAATGTTAAAGACTGTTTTAGTACAAATATTTTGAGTGGCTTAACATAAAAATCGAATAAAAATTTCAGAAGTTATTCGCCATTTTCCAAAGTTACCCAAAATAGTGGGTTTTATTAAGAAGTCAGAAAAATCATTTTTTCGAATTTATTTTGTAAAATTTAGAGTGCAAATCAAAACTGTATTATGCAAAATTGCACAAATTTTATTTAAAAAATTAAAATTAATATTATTTAATATTAATATATTGTATTTTATATAAAAGTTTGACGTCGAACGTGGAACTGCATTATTGAAAGTTAATTTATATATTATAGTGAGGTATATATGTACTTTGAGCAAACTTCTTATAGTGTGTAGGATTTGTTTCTCTTATAATTGTCCAACAATAATCTCCTAACATGCTTGCGTCCCAATACCCTTGATATTTTTTTCCATTGCAGAGATATCCTGATGAAACCTTTCACCTTGTTCATCACATTCTGCACCGAGATTTGAAGGAAAAAAGTCCACATGAGAGTGCACGAAATGCATTTTTAGAGAAATAGTTGCGCCAAGAACTTTGTTATTTTCAATTAAAGATGAAATAATTTCTCTATAAAGTGAATCTCTTTCGTTATCCAAGAAGCCGATAACCATTTGCTTAAACGAAGTCCATGCTTTCAACTCTTCTTTATTTAACACATTATTAAATTTTTCATCCCTCATCAGTTTTTTGATTTGTGGTCCAACAAAGATTCCTTCTTTAATTTTAGCAAAAGAAATGCCGGGAAAAAAATGTATAAAATATTCGGACGCAGGAGTTTCGTTTTTTTACAGAGCCTTAACAAAATTTTTCATTAGGGCAAGTTTTATATGCAAAGGTGGCAAAACTTTCTGACACGGTTCAATAAGAGCTTTATTTGCGATATTTTGAATTCCTATTATGAGATCTTCGCTTTTTGGCCAAGATGAACGTAGGAAATGATCCTTTGTTGCTCTGTACTTTAGTCAAATAATCAACCTTTAGATTGGCTTCCAATTGCTTCCAATTGAATTCGTTATATTGAATTAACTTTAAAACTTTCGCAACTTCATCATAGGTTT